ATTGGTCCGAGTTCTACGCGGGTTCTCCATTACGTGTGAAGCAATGTCCGACTTCACGTACACTTCAGAAGGTCTTTGAAGCAATGTTTAAAGTCCGACAATGAGGACTGGACGGGATTTCAAGTCCGCGCAATTAGTTCCAGTCCGAGGCGCAGCAGAAAATCCCGTCCGAATTGGAGGACTTTGAACGACTTCTCATACTCATTAATTATTCGAGAGGGGAAAAAAGCGAAGGAAATACATATAACAGAAATATATTGATTTATTGCATCTCCACCAAGGTTTTCAGTTTTCATAGTTTTGAATAAAGAAGCACCGTTTGTTGTTTTCCAATTCCCGAACGGCTTTCTGAAACAAAAGCTTTTCAAATTCTCTTTGTTAGCTTTTCATGGCATTCCTAATGAGCCTAATTCATAAGTTTTATARGTATGTTATCTTCCAAGGAATCGCATCAGAAACTCGGTGGTGTAATGGTATAAGACGGCACATATAGACTGGACGGTTCGGGATCGTTTCGTGAGGGATACATTTATCAAAGAGCTTTTTTTCACTAAATTAATTCCATATTAAGTTGATTATTTCTAATACTTTGATTATCATTAGCTAGTAGTAGTTAGAAAAAGCTAGAAGTAACTAGAATCAAGTTAAGAGTAACTGGAAATAAGATAGAATACAAGCTAGGAGTACTTCCTCTGGTTTCCAGTTACTGCACGTGGTGCAAATTACAATCAGGGATTGGCTAGATACCTCATGAATAATTAATGAGTATGAGAAATAACTGGAAATAATGTAGAAGTGACTTGAAAGAAGCTCGAAGTAACTGGAAATAAGGAAGATTATTTCATACTTGATTCAGTTTTCTTTGTTATTCATAGTGTTGTATCTCGCTTATTCCACAGATCATTGTGTATTCAAGTGCTTTATATCGAAGTTTCAGGGCAATATCTATATCAGCCTATACATCCCTCGGGCCTGCGGCCCTCGGGATGTAATGTATAGGCTGATTGCCTCCGTTCTCGGTATGTAACTCTTACATACAAGGTAGGAAGACTTCCTCTGGTTTCAAGTTACTGCACGTGCATGTGGTACAAATTACAATCAGGGATTGGCTGGGTACCTCATGAATAATTAATGAGTTTTTGAACGTCGCTTCAAGTCCAAAGTATCTTAGGAGGAACCATTGCTAAATCCTTTTTCTTAGCTCTTGTTTCGCTCTAAGCTTTGAGGTATCTACAACATCACTGGAAGAGCTAGAGCAGCTTAGTTCCACGTTTTCCAATAGAGTCAAAGCGTTTGTTATTTTTGGTACAAACAACTGTCGTAGTTCATCCTTTTAAGAAATTGAATAGTGACGTAATATTCTTACAACTCCTTTATTGTGAATACGGAATCACGGATTTCGTCACCGAGTTTTCACCTTCTGCCTCCCTGACTATTAACCCATCATGCAATTCAGTCATTTAACAGAACGGAATCAACACTTTTTTTATTAATTCCAAAAAATATATTTGTCACATTTGTTAAATCACATCATAGTATAACTATTTTTTAGTATCGAGTCACAACCTCGATGTGTCATGGTTGCTATAGGCTTTTAGACGTATAAACACCAAAAGTTATTATATTGATAATTATACATGTACATGTACAGCCTTTTGCAAAAATTATGAGAATTGTTGAAATATCTAAATATCATAATATCGAGTGTATGATGGGTAATCTCGCGCGATGCCCTTAGTCCCTTGTCTTTGTAGTTTAGTTTTTTTTTGGCGACAGACTTATCCGTAGTTCTGAACATTTTCTCGATGTCAACAATGAATTATTCTAGCAAACCCGCGTGTTCCGGACAATATATGGATATGGATATTATGATATTTAGATATTTAGACAATTCTCATAATTTTTGCAAAAGGCTGTACTTAATATTATATTGATATATCACTAAACTATAAAGAGCTATAAGAAAATATATCAAAGCTATTCGATAACTGGAAAAGAAAAACTAGAGAAATGAGTTCCCAATAAATCTTTGATTTCTTTTAAGATAACTTAACTGGATTTCAATCTTGAACAAAATCCTTTGGAATCATGTTTGGGACTATAGGGTTTATTTAGATGGTATCGCTTAAAAGCACAACCTCCAACTGCCACAGTGTTGTCGACGGGCCGACAGCAAACAGTCAACCACACAACTACAACATTGAAAGTGGGAGAAAGGGTTTAGGCAGGAGAAATTTGGACGAACAAGGGAAGTCATGAAAAGCGTAAATGAACATCCCAAACTCATGCGAAAGTCCCGAGATGTTTTGTCCAAGATTGTGGTCCTTCCAAAATTACTAAGCATGCCATTACTAATCGAGAAATAATTTTCAACACACACACACATTCAATGCACACAACATTGTTGATAAAGTTTTGTTACCCTTAGTTTAATACCAGGCTCTCTCGAAACACGCTTTTAAATTTCCTTCAAGAGATCCTGGGTTCTCAGCATTGTCTCAGGCTAACGTTCTGCAATCACCATATAATTCTTGCTTTGATTCTGCATTTGGGTTTTGAAAGAAAAGTCAAGAAAAAGAAAATTTAATTCAGAAGTGTTTGGACGTCGATGTATAAAGGAGTACAAGAAAGACTACAGTCTCTTTGATTGCGAGCTGCGTAGAGCTGGAAAATTCTAAAAAAATTCAGCACCTGCAGTTTAAAGACAAGTCTAACCGCAATTATGTAACATTGGTACGCGTGGCCGAATGGAAGTGTTTTCGATTTCTAAATCAGAGGTCTGAGATTCGAGACTCAGAGGAGATGACATTTCTTTAGATTTCTTTCTTTTCCAAAAAATAAATGAATAAATAATCAAATGTAGGACGAACAGGGAAACCGGTAACGGCAAATTAATGAGTAAATTACTAGAAAACAATGAGAATAAATTAATAGTTCTGAATAATCCTGAAGTAACGCAGGCTCAAGTTTACAGGAAAGTGAGTGACTGAGTGATTGAGTGAGTGTCAGACTCGTACCCCTCCAATAACTCTTCGATTGCTTCGCAATCTTCGAGTTAAAAAGTATGTCAATTCGATTTACGGGATATTTACAGAGTTTTTACAAGAACGAGATAGTAAATTTACGGAGTTTTTACAGACAGAGATTTTAGCTTGTCATCTATAGGTTTATTTGAAGCGCCTGCAAGAAGAGTTATACCATTTTTTTAAAGAAAATTATGGGAGATTATAACCATTACTAAGAAAAAGAATAATAAAAATGTTTTGATGTTACGTCATAATTGAAGTAAATGAGATATTTTGCTACTGACAATCAGAAACGTTGCCAAACTCAATGACTGAGTTTCCAGTAATTTGATCCCTCGCCAAACGCAATGCATGCATGGATTGCCAAGGGGCAAACAACGCGAGACCTACAAAGTTTGTATGGCGGACATTCGTATTTTCATGTTTATCGCTCGATATGGTTAAGTTTTTTTACGCCGTTTTTACGGGATATCATTAGGAGGAAGTGGTACAATCTGCATACGTAATTAAGTTTCTAACGATATATGTAAAATTATAGGCGAGAAACTTTTCTTCCGTAACTCGCATTGTGAAATGTACACAGTTAGACTTATTCGCTCAGGACGTAAAACAGTGAGATTTTTTGTCAAGATAAATGCATGATTGCTCAATAAAAGCATTCTACACATATGCTACAGTTCAAATTCACAACATGCCAAAGAAAATAAAAATAAAGTAGAATTTCATTAATAATATTGATAACAGGTTTACATAATCCTTAGCGTCAGAATAATGAAATATAACGTCAAAATTAAATATGATAATTAAACTAAGATCAATAGAGTGAAGTAATTACTGTATTTGTTATTTCTACTGATATTTTTTTAAGGGCCGAACTTAATGGCAAGAAAGGCGAAGGCTACAAAAAGTTTTAACAATTTTACCAGTCTCTTGTCGTCGGCATTTTTTAAATGTAAAAGTTAAAATGTTCAACAAGTAAACAACATGTTGCCTCGTTTTATAATCTGAATGTAAACTCCTTACCCAATAATGTAATTATGTGCATTACTATGACGCCTTACCTGTCGTGATGAATATTCTTCTCTGTTTCTTGGACCTTCTCCAATTTTTGTGGCGACCGATACTTCGATCCTGTACCGTGTAACTCAACACATTTTTGAGAATGACCTTTGTTTTATTAGCCTTTATGTATACTTTGTTCCAATGACCTAAGTCTACATATGAATATCGGCGATAGTAAACATAGTGTCCAACAATTACACCATTAGTGAACTCATTGTCAACAGACTTCCAATTGATCCAAACAGTTGACCCAAAATTCCACGCTTTGACGGGATTCCTGTTTTGTCGAGTTGGATAGTGAGTTCGAGTTCGAGTTGGACTTCGAGTTGACCATCGAGTCAGTCAAATACATGATTTTTACGTAAAACAAACCAAATCTTATAAATTCTTACATCCTCCTACAATTATAGAGACTTTTTATATACTTTTAAGTTATTTCAAGTTTTGAAATGTATTGCTCTTTCATTGTAGCAAGCAAGCTAGAGCAGACACATTTAATAATTAACCTTTTCTTTATTTTGATTTTGACATGACTTTCGAAGTATTTGCTTGTATGTTCAGTCACATTTTACTGATGGTTTTTGTCAGTTTTAGTCCAACTTAATATAAAATCGAACCTTAAGGAACAATTATAATAAGTAGGGGGACTCAAAAAGCACTCACCGTTATTGAAAGCCCCCTCCTATCTCAACTCTGATTGACTTTTTATTGCAAAGAAAATAACAGATAAAACAGGAGGAGCCAACAGGTTCCTGGGAGAAATATATCTGTTCTTATGTCCCAGCCAGCTGCCAGTCACAACTGGTTGCCAGCGAGAAATTCAGAAAAAAAAAAGAACTCTCCAGGCAAGGGATACTTGCTAAGAATTTTTGCCAGGAAAAATGAAAAATTGTTAAATATAAAAAAAGAATATCAGCCTTCTTTGACCTTAAAAACATTTAAAAACATTTTCCAGAAACAAAATTACTTTAAAAAGGAAGGAGGTGACATTTGTTTATGAGATTGTCAGCAATGTAGCTCAACAACCCTTTCCCAGGAAAAAATTTACAAGAACAGTTATTTAGAAGAACAGAACCCGTCGACGTCTCCTCCTGGTAAAAAGCTAAGTAAAACTCTCTTGTGTAACCTCTGATCGCTT